TAGCTGAGAAACTGAGGTCCAGAGAGAAGGATCTTGCCTTGCACAGAGGAGGAGAGCTGTCCAGTGGGGAACTAGAGGTGCTGGCTCTACCACACCTGCTATTTCGGGAAGATGCTGAAGACAGGGGCACTCACTTCAGATCTGGGTTTGGTGAGAAGGTGAGGAAAGACCCCAGACATTTGACCCAAGTCCCTTCTCCAGGCCCTCAGCAGGAGTTCTTGAGCACCTGCACCACTTTCCCAGAGTGTGGCAAAGCCGGTCAATGGCCGCCTGAGCATCCTCACCATCTCTATGGTACTCTCAGGCATCACAGGCTAAGCAAGGGCTCAGTCCTTTGAACAGCTCCATACTACAGGCACATTCCATGATGAGGAAGCAGAGAGCACCTGGCAGCTGGGCAGGGGGATCAGATCTAGAGCACATCAAGAAGTGTTCTTTTGGGCTGGGGATGTGGCTCAAGCGGTAGCGCGCCTGCCTGGCATGCGTGCGGCCCAGGTTTGATCCTCAGCACCACATACAAACAAAGATGTTGTGTTTGCCGAAAACTAAAAAATAAATATTAAAAAATTCTCTCTCTCTCTTAAAAAAAAAAAAAAAAAAAAAAAAAAAGTGTGCTTTTAGCTTAGTGGCTTCATTGCATGCCCAAAGCTCTGGGTTCAATCCACAGGATATTAAAAAAAAAAAAAAAAAAAGTGGGAATACTATTCTTGGGATCCCAGCTCATCTTTGTTGCCTCCATTCATCTTTGGCATTGATCCAAAATAATAAGCTCTTTCCTTTAGCAAGGTCTGTCTGGTCACTACCCTAGAAATTTGCAAAAAAAAAAAAAAAAAAAAAAGCCTAAGGATGCAAAGGTTAGGCAAAAAGTCAATAGACCAAAGCTCTTAGTGATAAAGAAGCAGCAGAATCAAACTGTAGCATAGAAGGAAGTGGCAGAAACCCAAATTAGTTTGGAAGAATAAAGACAGAGGCATTGCATATATAGATGCATCCATAGCCTACTATGTGTCTAATACTGTGGCAGATTCTGGAAATTTGTCTCAGCTCAAGGACAAATGTTAAGTGCTAAGCCAAGTAGTAAATAATGGCCTTATCCTCTACCTCGTCAGGACAGTGTCTAGGGGGAAATATTACAGGTCTTGTTCTAAGGGATTTAAAGTTTTTTTTCCTTTAGTATGTCAGAAAGCTAATCAGAGTCCCTGAGGGCCCTGGGATAACATTCTGACCCTCTAATTGCCAGATTCGATAACTGGCCTTCTCTGCTTTAAAATACAACAAAGCTCTCTCATGAATGAAAAATTACAGCAGAATGCAACCATGTAAAACTAGAGACCAGAGTCAAGAGTCCTACTTACACTCACCACTGCATCATTCACCACCATGTGAATCATTTCCCCCTCTGGACTTCAGTTTCCCCATTTTTAACTTGAGGGCGTTGGACTAGACTGTCTCTAGGATTCCTTCCAGCCTGTGGAAGCTCCACATTGTTTTGATGTGGTGGCAGATCTCAGATTGATTTACATAAATTTGCATGTTCAATCAGAAATCCCAAACTCCAAGTATAGAAAATCCAATCAGTCCATTAGCATAGCCAGACAGGCTGGAGAAGCCTGCCAGTTTCGGTTGAGGGTTGTCAAAGCAGACGGTGGTAGTAACGGTGACTTGGGAGGAGAGGGTGGGGAAAGCAAGAGTGGGAAAGGGCATTTGTTCTGAGAAATGCAGCTCTGGGGTTCCAGGACTGATGGGGTTAGGACCCTGCTCTGGCAATCAGGTAAGGGTCTTTCTTTTATCCTTCTACTCCTAACAGGGCCTCTGCTGGCCAGCCTCAGAGCCACACCCCAAAAAGGAAGATCAGCCTCTGCCTAGCAACAGCTGCATCCTTCACTCTGACAGGGACTCTACCATTTGCCACTTTCTGGGAAACTGACTTCCCTGGGAGCTTCCATTATCCATTTCAAGAGCTCCCAGCAGTGAGGAAGGTTTCCTTGGGGTCTGACCTAAATACTTCCTGCTGCAGCTTCACCCATATATACAGGAGAGAGGGGTTCCCAGGCCCAATAGAGCCAGCAGAGGGAAAAGCAATGCAGGAGAATATACCTCATATTCAACCAATCTGAAGGCCTCTCTAACTACTACCTCTCCTTCAACATTCCCCTTCACCTGGGAGACCAAAGATGAAAACAAACAAGAACGTAAGGCCTTTTGGCTCTTGAGCTGGAAAGCAAGTCCCAACCTGGAGAGAACCGACTCCTGAGAAAGCCCTACCCACAGGAGACAAGGGGGCTGGGAAAGATGGGGTGGGGGACAGCTTCTTGTTGCAGGAGCTGTTGAGCTGGCATGGCAGGGCCTGGGAGGCTGGCTGGACTAGGTGAGGGTAGCAGGGAAAATTCAGCCCCTTGCCTGGGAGCTGGGGTGGTAAGTACACAGAGGTGAAGTGGGTAGGGTCAGGGGGTGGGATGGGCAATAGCAGTGGGGCCTCCTTGCCCTTTTCCCATAAGAGGGTAGATGAGTGTGCTATGCTTCCTGGCCCAGATCCTAAAACAAGTCCCAACAGCTGAGATGCAAACTGTCTCCTGGGAATCTGCTTACCCTGCTGGCCTTTGGCTGCCTCCTCCTCTCAACCCCTCCCCAAAGGTCCAAGTCAAAGACTGGCTGAGCCAGATGTCTCATCAGAGGCCTTGATGGGTGGGCCAAACCCAAGCAGGAGTTCATATCCCAAGGCACCAGGGGTGAGCAGAACAATGAGTATTCCTGGGCAGGACAAGGGAGTCTGCTCCTCTCTAACCTTAGTTCTAATCCTAAGCAACTATGACACCTCACACCTTAGCTCTGTGAGGTGGAACCAGCCTGCCAGAGGACCATTCTCACCTCTAGAGTTGCCTAATAGTATAATCATTCAATATCAAAAAGGGGATTTTAGAGCTTTCTAGTCCCACTGGTGAATTTAAAAAATGATGGAAACTGAATCCCAGAAAGGGAAATTGTCTTGGCAAGGCCATACAGCAGATTAGGAAGAGAAGGGCCCAAAGATTCTCTCAGCAAGTATATGTATATGTATGTGTGTCTTCATTTATGTATTTTGTGTGTGTAACTGGGGATTGAACCCAGGGGTGCTCTACCAACAAGCTACACCCCTGGCCCTTTTCAGAATTCTTTGGAGACAGGTTCTGAGTTGCCCAGGCTGGCACTAAATTTGTGATCCTCCTGCCTGAGCCTACTGAATTGCTGGGATTACAGGCATGCACCACAATGGGCCTCTCCATCCATATTGATATCAGCTCAGTCCTCATACACACAGGTTTCCACTTGCCTATCAAGTGGAAATACCTTCTCTCCTGCAGCCAAGACATTGGCCTCTCTGGGTTCTCACTATCCTCTCAAAGGCCTGAGTTGGAGAAAGATGCTGAAGGACCAGAGACACAAATGCACAGACCACAAATCTTGAAAACAAAATTGAACTACTTGGGATTACCCCTTAGAAAGGAATATATATGGTTTCTCTGGGGTGAAAAACTCACTAAACCCAGGTTGGTTTTAAGAAAGGGTCGGGGAAAGAATTTGAGAGGTAAATTTTGTGTCTTCCTTCTGGCTAGACAAGGGGTCTCAAGAGAGCCAGCTGACATAATGTCTCTAAGAGAGGGTCTGCAATAAGGCAACTGGGCTACATTCATTTTCCCCCAAAGTAGTGACCACACAATGATTAAATACTGACCCCCTCTCTATCTATTCCCAGACCTCTCCTGCCCCAGGCCTCTGGCTACAACTATTTCCTCTGGCTGACAATTGTGCTTAGGCAGGAGGACCTTAGTGGGGAGGCAGAGAAGTGGTAGGGAGGGAATAGAGGGATTGCCTCTAAAGCCAGGGAACCCCTCAATCTAAGACACCAGTAGCAGCTGGGCAGACTGGGTGGGCTTGGCTGATACAGGTTTGAGCAGCCTGGAAAACCAGGCCTATGGGAGGTGAGGGCCCTCTATGCCCTTGGGGCAGTGCCAAGGCTGGAGAAACGTAGGGAGTTTGGCCCAGGATAAGAAGAAGGTAGATGGGGTGATGGCCAGCCACTTTCTTGGGCTCTATGCTAACTAGACCAGGGGAATGGGAGACACAGATTCTCTGCATTCTTTTTTGACACCGCAACCAGGACCCTGAGAGCCTTTTCTACGGGGACTGCCCGGTCCCTATCCTGGCCCAACCCTTCACTCTCCCTCAGCTTTTCTTCTGTTTGCTGGCTGCCAGGATCCCTCCTCCTTCCCGCAGCCCCTTAAGCTTCGGAAGGGCTGTTCCGGGACACCAGGTCTCTCCGTCTTTCCCCGCCTCCCCCACGCCCTACCGCCCCAGGCTGTGGGGACTGGAAGAAGTGCGAAGTGGAGCCCCAGGCTCGTCTCCGCGCCTGCGCTTTGGGGAGACCCCCCCGCTAACAACCTGGCACCGCTAAGCAGCACCCGGACCTTGGGACCCGGGTTGGGTAGAGTACGCAGCTGGGGCAAGGTCAGTGCTTTCGAAGCGGGAGGGAGGCAGGCCACCGGAACATCCCCCACTCCCGAAAGTTTCCCTTCCGGGGCCACGGAGTGTGCGCGAGGATGGCGCAGGGGGCGGGAGGGGGTGGGGTGGGGGTGGACAGAGTCGCAGCCAGACCCCCTGGGGAGAGTGCAGCGCGAGGGAGGGGCACACTGCAAGGTACGCGCAGGAAGCCGCGACGCCCCCTCCGACCCATAACTGCCACGGGAGCTTTACCCTCCACACTCCCCAGCCCCCTGCCCAGTGCTTACAGACTCTCCCACCTTGCCGCCCTTTGAATCCCAAGTAGGCCTGGAACTCACCGAAATCAGGTGTTGGGCTGGACCAGGGCAGGCAGGATCCGCTGGGTCCATGGCCGCAGCTTGGGGGCGGGGGGCAGAGAAAGGGGGGTGCCGGAGCCGCCTCTTGATGTCAAGGCTTTAAAGGGGCCAGCGAACCCCGCCCCTTGCCTAGACTCCGCCTCCCTCGTCCTGCGCAGCCAATCCGCGTTCATCATGGATGTGCACCCCTCCCACCTCCTCCAGATGTTCCCAGGACAAGAGCTAAGTCTGCCTGGCCGGCGCGCGCCGCTTCCGCCCGGGTGGGGAGGGCCTCCCCTCCCCCTATGGAGAAACACTCTCGTCAGGCCTCCTTGGCCTGTTGTACACCTCCCCAGAGTCGCCATCGGGGACCCCGGGGCTGTGCCGAGCGGGGTAGAATGGGGCCGTCTGCAGAGAGAAAAACTTAAGTAGGTACGCGCAAGCCCACGGGCTTGCGCGTCGGTTTTCGTGGGGCTGGGTGTGCACGTGTGTATGTGGTTTGAACGTTGGTGTTTACAATTTTGCCTTCCTACATACGTGTTGGGTGTAAATTCAGGGGAAGAGTCTTGAGTTCTTCCTTGGCCTTAAGTGCGAAGTGCCTCTCTCTTCGTCCTCGAGGATCGGATCTTTCCAGTAGTCTGGAAAACTGAGCACTTAGAAAATGGCTCTGCTTGTGGGTGAACAGCGCTGTCCGTTTCCTTACTAGCTTAAGAGCAGGCAAAGTGCACAAGAAGAATACATCCTTGTTTGGGGTCACTTACTATATTGGGGAGGGGCAGGGGCACCAGTTTGAACCACCTGCTTAAAGAGGAAATAGGCCAAACAGTCCACCAGGCCAATATAGAGGCTTAGAGCTCCCTTCATTGCTATTCTTATTGGTCCTTGATTAAACATCATTGTCTGGATAGTTTATAATCCTCACAAGCCCACATCTGGGCACTAGCCAGGATATTCAGATTCTGAACTGCGTTCTGCAGGGAAATAGAAAGGTATTACTAGACAGTGTTTGCTTATTGCTCTTGTTGCAAATATATGTAACTTTAAAGTATCATATTAGTCCAATAAAGAACATAATAACTGAGGGAACATAGAGTTCCCAAGTTGGCTAGGATTAATTAAGAGCTCCTTTCTGAAAGAGACTTCTTATTTAAAATGGAATTTGAAGGACAGAGGGAACTTGAGTGGGATCTAGGCAGGGTAATGACAGGAGGAGACTCTGGTAGGAAAGAGCATATTATCTGCATGAAACCGTGAGCAGATTACCTTGGTGGGAAAAGGGAGAAGTTAATTCCCCAGATTTTCCATGGAGATTAAGAATGAAGTTATGGACTTGACAGTTGATAAGTCATTTTTGGGTTCTGGAGCATAGGACTAACTTGATGAAGAGAGTATCTGAGGACAGTTACGGATGGAGGTCATGGTGATTATCCTCACCAATTCTCTCAGCTTCTTGCTTAACATTTTTTGTATTGATTTATCTTAACATGCAATAAAATGCAGAGATCTTAGATGTTGTTTAGTGAATTTCAACAATAATATAACCTATGTAATCAACACCCAAAACAAGATACTGAACCATCTCAGAAAGTTCCCTTGTGTTTACAGTTGATCACCCTGTGCCTACCACCATCCTCGGTGACAATTTTGAATTTAATTACCATAGTTTGTTCTCTTTCACATAAGTGGAAACTTACAATAGTAAGTTATTTAGCTTAGTAATGTTTTTGAAAAACATCTGCATGTACCTGTAGTCTATTCTTTTTAGTTACTGAGTAATATTCCATTGTATGAATATATCACAACTCATATTATCCATTCTTTGCTTGATGGATATTTGGGTGCTTCCCGACTATTATGAATAAGACTGCTGTAGAAATTCTTGTATACATCTTTCTATGAACATGTTTTCATTTATTTTTTACCTTATTTCATCAGACCTTGAGATTGGAAGTGGAAGGAAGCGGAGAGCTAGGCTAAGACTTTTGGATAATTTGTAGATGGTAGGGCTACTCACTGAAATCAAAAGTGCTATTTATAGATAATGGTATCTTTGGAACACTACAACATTGATCAATTCCTATTCAGTCATCCAACTTATTGAATAGGGATCAGTTGGCTAGTCCTGGGATTATAAGAAAAATTAAACATGGCCCTTTCCTCAAAAGGCTTAAAATCTCCATCTAACTCTATTTGCAAGCTAAGCCTTGGGATGGAAAACCATGAAAGTCTGCCACACGTTTCTAATTATCATTGAATGTTTGCAAATAATGGAATATTTGGAAGCAAATAGAACATCTAGATGATTTCCTATTTTTCATTCAGATGTTTGCCCTTGTTGAGTAAACAGACAAAATCTGTATTGTCAGAGCAAGTACCTGCCCTCCTTAAAGACACTAACACTTGATAGATTAGGCATTTAGATTTTGGCAGATTTTCTATGCTTCACAACCTTCATCTTCAGTTTCAGGAGAAAGAAATGTAGTTACCATTGCTCTGTGGTGTTCCTTTTCTGTCTTTGATGAGGCTTAAGACACTTTAATTCTCAGTGTTGTTATTCACTTAAATTATTAAAAATTAGGAGTCCCAAATTTAGTTCTCCACCTATGTTATATATCACTAATCATATATTGTCCCTTCCTTATTAAAATGACCCCCTCCCTGCTCATGACAGTACTTTGAATAGGATTTCCCACTTCAGTATTTTATGGTCATTCCTTTAGTGTTGGGGCATTTCTACTCCTCAGTAGAAATGACATTATAGCAATGTAACAGTGGTTGCACGGGTTGGTAAGCTGACAAGTTTAGAAATCATGACATCAAAAGACAGTCAAGTTAGTAACTGTTTCTCAAAACATTTTAAACTGGCTATTCACCAAGTTGGATTGACTTGTGGGCACTATTTTGATGGATTTCTTGCTCAGTAAGAGGAAGGAAGGAGCTAGTTAATGTTTGGTTCTTTTGCCAAAGGAATAGATTGTTGCTAGCACTTCTTAATTCTACATAGAACAGTCATGTTCCTTGGATTCTGACAGTATTGTCAATATGTGCTTTAAAACCTCTTACCTGGTATAGATATGATGGATCTGCCTTGATTCTTGAATGCTTTTCATTTTTTATCCTTCAAAAAACAACTGAGCCAAGCACAGTGGTGCACACCTGTGTTCCCAGTGACTTGAGAGGCTGAAACAGGAGTATCACAAGTTCAAAGCCAGCCTCAGCAATGGCAAGGTGCTAAGCAACTCAGTGAGAACCTGTATCTAAATAAAGTACAAAATAGGGCTGGGGATGTGGCTCAGTGGTTGGGTGTCCCTGCGTTCAATCCCTGGTACCCCCCAAGAAAAAACCTCCCCCAAACAATTGAGCCTTTATGCCAGCCACTGTGCATATTGTATTAGGTAAGTAATGTGGATAGGATATGCAGTGAGATTGGAAAGGTAAGCAATATGAATCATCCTAAGAGCAATGCAGAACCTTTAGAATGACTTAAACAGTAGGATGGCATAATCAGATTTGCATTTTGGAGAGATCACTGTGGTTACAGTGTAGAGAATAGGGAGCAAAATTGAAGCCAGGGATACCAGAGAGAAAGGTTTTATAGAAACTGAGGAGAAATGTGAGAAATGATGTGTTCTGGACTAGGAAAGTGATAGAGGTGATGGATAGATGACTTCAAGAAATAAATAGGCTGAGTGAAGTCTGAGGCAGGAAGATCACAAGCTCAAGGCTAACCTCAGCAATTTAGCAAGACCCTATCCCAAAATAAAATAAGGACTGGGGCAAAGCACCTGGGTTCGACTCCTAATACCAGAGGTTGAAGACGAAGAAAGAAATAATAGCAGAATCATCAGACCTTGGGATTGGAAGTGGAAGGAAGTGAGAGCTAGGCTAAGACCTTTGGATAATTTGTAGATGGTAGGGGCTACACACTGAAATCAAAAGTGCTGGAGAAAGAGGTGGTTTTGGAAATGGTATGCTTATTTCCAAACATGTTGACTTTGAAATGCCTGGAGGACATCCAAGTAGAAATGTCTATCCCAACTATTATGCCTCAAAAAGAGGTTACAGATGTGCTGCATTTTGCTCTCACTTCTTAGGGCAGTGCAAGCTCCCTGAGACAAAGTAATCTTAATTGTGTTGGACTGCATCATCCAGCATAGAAAATTTTCTATGTGTGCCATGATGTGGAAAAGGTTGGAAAACAATGATGTAAGCAGCTTGATAAATAATTTTGAATAAATAATTTTGAAGCTCAAGAGAGGGAACTTGACCAAAGGTATTTGTGAGTCATCAAAACATTGGAAGTAACTGAAGCCATGCAGTGGAAGAGATCATGCAGGAAGAGGGGCTGGAACAGAACCCTAAAGAACACCATTAGAGGTGCTGGGGTTGTGGCTCAGTGGTAGAACACTTACCTAGCATGTGTGAGGCACCACATAAAAAATAAAACAAATAAATAAAGGTATTGTGTCCCTCTACAACTAAAAAATATCTTAAACAAAACAAAACAAAACACCATTAGAGAGGGATCTCCAGAGAAGAAAGAAAAATGGATGAATACTGTCACCAGAGCCTAAGAAAGAAGTTTCCAAAAAAAGACCAAATATAGTTTCCAGGGTTGTTGAGGTCAAGGACAGTTTGATCAGGACAGAGAATGTTCCTATAGACTTTTGCACATCATTAGAGAGTGGCAAAAACAGATTTTGAAGCAACAAGAAACATGTAAGGAACATGTTTTAGCACTTCAGACAGGAAGTGCTAAAAACTCTTCCAAAAATTTTGGCTATGCTATGAAGGGAAAATTAGGCAGAGATACAGGTGGGGCAGTAGGGGAGAAGTGTTTTAGGCCATGCTTGGAGGCACATGCCTGTAACTTCAGTGATTTGGGAGGCTGAGACAAGAGGACTGCAAGTTTGGGTACAGCCTGGGCAATTTAGTGTGACTGTTGTCTGAAAATAAAAAAATAAAAGTGTTGGGGATAATATAGCTCTTAGATTTAATGTCCACTAACATATGCACATATACACACAATTATTTTATTTTTTATTTATTTATTTTTTTACACACAATTATTTTAGAAAGATATTTTTAATGAAAGACATGCTTAATTTTGAAAAATATGTGAAATTAGTTTTTTTTTTTAGCTGTAGTTGGACACAATACTTTATTTATTTTTTTGTGGTACTAAGGATTGAACCCAGGGCCTCATATGTGCTAGGCGAGTGTTCTACCACTAAGGCCACAACCCCAGTCTGTTGTGAAATTAGTTTTTTATAAGTAATAAGTGCATATGGATTAAAAAAAAATCAACATAGGAGCAATTATTTGCTGCATTTCCTAGCGCCAGCCATGAGCCATTTTAACCTGTTGGTTGATTCTTCTATATGACCGAAGATGCTTATACTATTTTCTTTTTGTCATATAATTATATTCTATGTGTGTATTCTTTTCAAAAGCTAGGAAGCAAGATCTTATAATTCACATTTGTTTGCATCCTTACACTTAAAATATCTTGGAGACCTTTATATTAGCATATATAATTCTATTTTCTTCTTTTAAACAATTACTTAATAATCCATTTACAGCTGTCCCACATTATTTGTTTCCTGCTTTTGGGCATTTACTTTGTTTTCAGCTGTTTGCTTTTTGTTTTTTTTTAAATACTTATTTTTTAGTTGTAGTTGGACACAGTACCTTTACTTTATTTATTTATTTTTATGTGGTGCTGAGGGTCGAACCCAGGGCCTCACACGCACTAGACAAGCACTGTACCTTTGAGCCACAACCTCAGCCCCTCAGCTGTTCATGTTTATCAACTAAATGCAATGAATTAACATTGCATACATATTCTTGCATAATTATATATATGAACATCTTGGCAGGATAAATTCCTAACAGTGGAATTCCTGGGTGTGTAAAGTATATGTACTTTCAAAAAACAATTTTTTTTTTTTAGTTGTAGATGGACACAATACCTTTATTTATTTTTATGTGATGCTAAGAATCAAACCCAGTGCCTCACACATTAGGCAAGCGCTCTACCACTAAGCTACAACCCCAGCCCTATACATTTTGGTAAATATTGATAAATTGCCTTCTGAAATGGTCATGCTAATTTACATTTCCACAAACAGTGTAAAATATAATATCACAAACTCACCATTACTGGTTTAAGTTTGTGATATTATATTAATCTTAAGTAATGAAACATTCTTTTTTATTTAAGAGAGAGAATTTTTTTTAATATTTATTTTTCAGTTTTCGGTGGACATAACATCTTTATTTTATTTTATGTGGTGCTGAGGATCGAACCCAGTGCCTTGCACATGCCAGGCGAGCGTATTACTGCTTGAGCCTCATCCCCAGCCCATGAAACATTCTTTTGTTTTCATTTGAATATAAACTGACAAGATTAAACAAGTTTTCAGGTACTTATCTGCCATTGTTTTCTATGAATCTTTTTTCTGATAAATTTTTGAATTACTTGTATTATAATGAAATTAGCCCTTTTTCACATACATTGCAGATAGTTTTCCTATTGGTAGTTTGTTATACAACTTTATTGTATTTTCTTTTTTGACTTAGTCAAATTTATTGATATTTTCCTTTACAGCTTTTTTTTTTCTTAAGTACTCCAATTTTTAAAATTGATTTTATTTCCTGGAATGTTTATGGTTTTCTCTTTATGTATAAATAAATGTTCCATCCAGAACCTAGTTAAACAGCAAAGATCACTGTTACTGGATAAAAGAATTACATCCCTTCTGCACCAGCCCATCCTTTCTATTCTGAATGTGCAAATACCCATGCCTATGTGCTCTTTCCAAAAGATCTTTTTCTCCAGGCTCACAGGAAATGCTTTTTTTCCCCTCTTGTCCATCATTCTAGAAGCTATATTCCTTTTAGAGACAGCTCAAGTTCCACATCTGCTAGAAAGTTTTCCATGCCCACAGACTTTTCCATTTCTAAAGCTCATATGATCAAATATTACCTTCTATGAGCCTCTCCTTTTTTCAATTTTTAATTTTTTTTTTTTAGTTGTAGATGAACACAACACCTTCATTTTGTTTATTTTTGTGTGGTGCCAGGGATTGAACCCAGTGCTAATGCATGCTAGGCAAGCGCTCCACCACTGAACCACAACCCTGGCCCTCCTTTTCTCAATTTTAAACCTACTTTCTGAGTGAATGGAATCTAACCTTCGGATATTTAGGGTTGTTTTATCTAATTCCCTCCTTACCCTTAGAGCAGCTAAAAACATGCTGAATATATGGAAAGAATTAAATAGTACTTCTTTTTTTAAAGTTGTACATGACACAATACCTTTATTTATTTATTTTTAATATCTGTTTGTTTTTTAGTTGTAGTTGGACACAATACCTTTACTTATTTTTTTTTTTAAAGAGAGAGTGAGAGGAGAGAGAGAGAGAGAATTTTTAATATTTATTTTTTAGTTCTCGGCGGACACAACATCTTTGTTGTTATGTGGTGCTGAGGATCGAACCTGGGTCGCACGCATACCAGGCGAGCGCGCTACCGCTTGAGCCACATCCCCAGCCCTACCTTTACTTATTTTTATGTGGTGCTGAAGATCAAACCCAGGGCCTTGCACTTGCTAGGCAAGCACTCTACCGCTCAGCCCTAGCCCCAGCACCTACCTTTATTTTATTTATTCATTTTTATGTGGTACTGAGGATCGAACTCAGTGCCTCATGCGTCTAGGCAAGCACTCTACTGGTGAGCTACAGCCCCAGCCCTAAACAGTACTTCTTGATTTGCCATGACAGTGTATGTGAAACTGAAGATGGGGTTGGTCCAAGTGGAGATGAAATGGAAGTATAAAATGCATACCAGGCTTTGAAAACTTAGTATGTAAAAGTATCTCATTTTTATACAGACTGTATGGCAAAATTATAACATTTTGGAGATGATCAGATTCTATAAAATATATTTTTTAAAATGTTAAAAGTATGAGCTAGATGTTGTGGTACATGCCTATAATCCCAGCAACTTGGGAGGCAGGCAAGGCCAGCTCAAGGCCATCCTCAACAACTTAGCGAGAACCTGTCTCAAAATAAAATGGACTGGGAATGTAGCCTGTGGTAAAAGGTTAAAGTATATCTCTATTTAGTGTAAATAAAAGGTTAAAGTATATTCTCTATTTCAGAATGGTCCAGAGAGGTGGTATGCGTCTTTAATCCCAGCAACTCAGGAGGCTAAGGCAGGAGGATCAGAAATTTGAGGTTAGCCTGAGTAATTTAGTGAGACTCTGTCTCTAATAAAAGATATAAAGGACTATGGATGTAGCTTGGTGGTACAACATCACTGGGTTTAATCCCCAGTAACATTAACACACATACATCTCATTATTATTCCTTTTTTTGGTCCCAGGGATTGAACTCAGGGGCACTAGATCACTGAGCCTCATCCCCAGCCCTATTTTGTATTTATTTAGAGGGGTCTCACTGAGTTGCTTAGTGCCTTGCTTTTGCTGAGACTGGCTTTGAACTCACAATCCTCCTGCCTCAGCCTCTCAAGCCGCTGGGATTACAGTGGCTCATTATTCTTGGTGCTGACTCCTAAATTAAGGTGATTTGAAGATAAGATGATCTTTTCTGGGGCCAAAGATATTCTGACTTCAAGGTCTGTCAGACCATTATGCAATCATTATCTTCTTGGTACCAGGGCCTCATCTTTATGAGTGCTAATTACATATTTTCTTTTACATTAACTGCCACAGACTTGAAATACAATGGTCCCTCTCAACAAGTCAGGTAACTGCTTGGCCAATAAAATGTTACTAGGAGGGCCTGGGATTGTGGCTCAGCGGTAGAGTGCTCCCCTAGCACAGGGGGGACCCGGGTTCCATTCTTAGCACCCATAAAAATAAAGGCATTGTATTGTGTCCATAAATATATTTTTTAAAATGTTACTAGGAAACAAGTCAGGTTCAGATACTGAAACATCTCTCAAAGCTTTCTGTGGTCTGAAATGTTCTGTTAACAATGTAGACAAATTCTTTGCAGATCCATTTAGTCACTGGGTCTATCAAGCTGTTTGGAACAGTTGCCACTTGGCCTTGTAAACTAATCTCATTTAGTTGGAGCCCCTGTGTTACTTTTTACTGCTACAACAGATCATCACAAACAGTGGTTTAAAACAACGAATTTATTCTTATAGTCTGGAAAGCCAAAAATCTAAAAGTCAAAATTTTCGCATTCCTTTTGGAGGCTCCAGGGAAGAATTTATTGCCTTGTCTAACTCCTGGAAACTGCCTGCATTCTTTGGTTTACAGGCAGGCCTTCCTCTCATCACTCCAACCTCTTGTTTCTGTCATCACATCTTCTACTGTGGTCTAATCACATCTGCAAAGTCCCTTTTGCTATCTCAGTTAACCTCAATTTTTTGGTTTGTTTTTATTGGTACTGGGAATCAAAATCAGGGGCACTTTACTACTGAGCCACATCCCCAATCCTTTTTACTTATTTATGTTTGAGACATGTTAAAGTTGCTGAGGCTGGCCTGGAACTTAAATCCTCCTATATCAGCCTCCTGAGTCATTATGACTACACTGCACACAGCGTGGATAACATTTGTAGTTTCCAAGAAATGGTATTGGATATCTTAGGGGTCTGTTATTTAGCCTATCTCTGCCCCATATACATTTCTTTGCACTGCCTTGGTGAAGGGTGATAGGAGAGAGCCACCTTGCAGAATTGCAAGGTTTCCAAGTATTCTTAAATTAAGATCTATAAAGAATAGGTAAACTCAGCCCTATAAAAACTGGTCTTATTATTTCATATATATAATATAAGGGACATTAGCTCCATATCCCTTCCTCCCAACACTGCTTCATTTGAAATGCTCTGTAGTAGTGCTGGGTAAGGTGATGCACACCTGTAATCCCAGTGAGTTGGGAGGCTGAGGTAGGATGATCCCAAGTTCAATACCCTCAGCAATTTAGGTCCAAAGCAATTTAGCAAGACCCTGTATCAAAATAAAAAATTAAAACAAATGCCTGGTATGTGGCTCAAGGGTTAAGTGACCCTGGGTTCAATCTCTCGTCTGCCCCCCATCCCCCAAAGAAAGGTAGAGAAAAAAGCAGCTCTGTAGTGCTAAAGCTGAACTCCTTATTACTGCATCCTGAAAAACTAATTATTAGACATAGTAAGATGTGAGTTTTCTATGATGATTTTTTCACATAAGCCTTTGATCCACCAGGTATAATTGTAGTCTGCACCATGCTTATGTAATTTTCTGCCTCAGCCTCCCAAGCTGCTGGATTACAGGCATGTACCACTATGCTGGCTAGGTGTTATTTCAGTTGTACAGATGAGTAAACTATGGTTGCAAAGCAGAGAATGGACTAGAAGGTAGGTGACTTAACATAGAAACCCCTGGTAGGCATCATCCACATGGATGGAATGAATGAAATTTACTTATTATTTGTAGAATTGACTGGATTTCCCAGGCTGAGGCAGGAGGATTGAAAGTTTGATGACAGCCTCAGCCAGCCCTATCTCAAAATAAAAAATAAAAAGGACTGTGGATGTAGTTCAGTGGTAGAGTGCCCGAGTTTCATCATCAGTACCAAAACAAAAAAGATTATTTCAGCATGGGGATATAAATGACCCAAGAGTCAACTGAGGTTTCTGATTTGAGCAGTGGATGCCACAAATTGTGATAGGATTAGGTTTGGAGAGAGGGTAGATAATGAGTTTGCTTTTGGGATATGTGAGTTTTAAGATGTCTTAAGGATTTATTTAGGGGGATCATGATTTTAAGACAGGAAAAATATTAGTCTGAAACTGGGGTAGGACTACCAGTATATTCAGGGATCATTAATGTTGGTAGTTGTTAAAAGCCTGAGAGTAGAAGAAATCACCCATGGAAGAATATGTAGAAGGCTGGATGGAACACAATAAAACCCTATGTTCAAAGTGTTGTCCACTGCTTGTATCATAATCATCTGAGGGGGCTGGGGCTGTAGCTCAGTGGCAGAGCACTTGCTATCATGTGTGAGTCACTGGGTTTGATCCTCAGCACCACATAAAAATAAATAAATAAAAAAATTTAAAAAAAAAACCCAAGGAGCCTGTTAAAAACAGAATCCTTCAGGGTGCGGTGGCATACACCTGTAATCTTAGTAACTTGGGCTAGGCAGGATGATTGTAAGTTCAACGCCAGCCTCAGCAACTTAGAGACCATGTCTCAAAATAAAAATAAAGACTGGGAATGTGGCTCAGTTGTAGAGCATATCCAAGTTCAATCCCCAGTACTCCAGATAGCAAAACAAAAACAAAAACAACTAGAATCTACACTGTGAATATGCTGAATGTTACATTAATTATACACTTAAAAATTGGTCAGCACGGTAAATTTTGTTATATGTATATGTAGTTTACCACAATAAAAGAATACAACAAAATAGAACATCTAAGTCCTATTCCAGACCTGAACTAGTACATCTGGGTTCATAATTTAAACCTGTTAAGCATCTTCAAATTCTAGTTAATGTATCTTTCCTAGTATCTATAATTGCTGTGCCAAGCCTGGGCATGTTAGAGACTTGAACTGCCACAGAAAGAGAAAATACATTCCCTACTGACCACTTCCTTTAGTCAGGTCAGTGGCTCTTCATTACAGATTGCATTGTGAGGTTTTGCCCAAAGGCAGGCCTAATTAAAAACACCTAAAAATAAAAATTTTTTTTTTTGGATTACCTGGGATTGAAATCAGGACTGCTTTACTATTGAGAGACATTCCCAGTCCTTATTATTTTTTTGAGACAATCCTCCTCTGTTTCCTGTATCATTGAGATTGCAGGCTTGTTCCAGCAATCATGATTGGCTTTTTTTTTTTTTAAATGGGGTACCAGGGATTGAACTCAGGGGCATTCAACCACTGAGCCACATCCCCATCCCTATTTTGTTTTTTATTTAGAGACAGGGTCTCATTGAGTTGTTTACCTCCTGGCTTTTTGCTGAGGCTGGCTTTGAACTCGTGATCCTCCTGCCTCAGACTCCTGAGCCACTGGGATTACAGGCATGTGCCACTGCACCCAGCTAAGCCTGGTCAAATTTTTAATGACCTTTAAGAGTTGGGGATATGGATCAGTGCTAGAGCATTTGTCTACCATGCACAGGCCCTGGTTTTGATCACCAGTACCACAAACAGAAACCTAGGAATAGTCTATTCTACATCCTACAACTAAGGATCATATTCTTCATCTAGATACCCTTGCTCACTGATCTTTGGATTCATTCTCCTCAGGGATTGTCCCAAATAATGGGGAACGGACATTCTTTCAGTTGCATGCTTTGGACATTTTGCCAAAAGCTTCTGCTAGGTTTTCAGGCTCCCTCACTGTTCCAGGACAGTGAGCATAATTCTCAAGTTAAAAGCCTTTTCAGTATCTTTTTCTGTCTTCCCATCTTACTGCCTCCAGAATCTTAATCTGTTCCTTTCTTTCTCTTCTATCAGTGATTCAGGGATCAGATGCCCTGAAGAGTAGAAGACTTCGGTCCCAACTGGTGTTGCCAAAGCAGCATACTAATTCCATGCCATGGTCCTGGGTCAAGATCTGCACAATCTGATTGGCCATATCACCTCGGATGGCAAGGGAATGGAAGTGATCAAAATCGTGGAGTCCCAGCTTTCGGAGACGCCTTGCAGCTGCTCGGTAACACTTCCAAGGCTGTGGCTCCACAAGGAGGTAGCGGCAGAGGGAGGAAAGATGGGCCAGGAACTCCCACAGGCCATGGTCCCCATGATTCAGATGAATCCACATGGTTATTGACATACAGAAGCCAATGTCAAAAACTGAACGTCCAAATTGACTTAAGAAGGAGCTCAAGAGAACCTTCCGGGTCCTTTGATTCATGAAGTCCAGGGTGATAAAATTCAAGCCATCAGGAAAAGGACATTCTTTTTTAGCTCGCTCCACCAGGACTGGATCTATGTCACAGCATAGGAGACGGAGTTCTCTGGAGGCATCTGAGCAGTTCTCCCCATCATGTAAGGAAAGGAAGTGTTTGTATAGAGCCACACTCAGATCCTAAAGGAATCCAAAAGAGTCATTGCAGTATTCAACATTGAATGGAAGACAAATCTCTCATCCTCTAAGACTGCCATACTTACTTCTGGCTTTATAGGATGTGAGCCTCCTAATTATAACCTACAGAGGTTGTAGTTTTTCTTGAGCAGACTCTCAGCGCCCTCCAGGGGTCATAGACTGTAAATGCACTATCCCTATATTTTCTTGATAACTGCTGGTTGGGTTGTATGGTTCAAAGTTCAATGATACTGCAAAGGAGCCTAGAGCAATATTTTCTGGCTTAAATAATATGCTGGTAAACACATCTTTAAAAATATATATATATTAGTTGTTTATGGTCCTTTATTTTTGTTTATTTTATATGTGGTGCTGAGAATTGAACCCAGTGCTTCACACAAGCTAGGCAAGTGCTCTACCACTGAGCCAGAACCCCAGCCCTAAACTCATCTTTTTTTGGGTATCTCAGACCCAAGTGAAAAGGAAAGGGGTCCAGGAACGTAACCAGTGTCCCTTACCAGGAAGGTAAGGAATAGAGCAAGCACCATCTTATGAAAACCTGTTTCTCAGAATAGAAACCTGTGGTTGGAAAAGGTCTGGATTCCAAAAATCCTCATTTAGCCTTCATTCTACATCTTTTAGTTTACATACTGTTTTATACTTCATCAACTCCTTCTGAGACTTATTCTGCTTCTGCAGCCATCATTCCCAAAATACACTAATGATCTACTTCTAGCCAAATCCAACTATTTATGATTTTCACTACCTTAAGAACTTCTTGACTCTTAAAGAAGACATTCTCTCCTTTTGCTAACTTTGATTTCTATAATCATTATAATCAACTCTAATTTGTGTTTTTCTATATAGTTTTTTACATTAGGTTCCTTCCTAACGTATCACGATTCTTAAAGCTTCTTTTTCTTCCCAATACTGGAAATTGAACAAGGGGTGCTCTACCACGAGGTAAATTCCCTGCCCCATTTATTTTTCATTTTGAGATGGCTGGCCTCCAACTTGCTATTATCCTGCCTCAGCCTCCTGAATAGCTGGGATTACAGGTGTGTGCTACCATGCCTGACTTGTCCTCTCAAACTTTAATGGACATATAAATCACTGATATAAAATATACATGCTGACTTAGTAGATCTGGGGTGAGGGCTGAGATTTGTTTGTATATATTTATTTTTTGCGATGCTGGGAATCGAACCCAGGGCTTCACACATGCCAGGTAAGTTGCTCTACCACTGAGACACATTCCCAGCCCTGAGATTATATATTTTTAATAAGCTGTCAAATCATGCCAGTGTTCAAAAATTAGTAGCAAGGCCCCAAACCACAGTGCTTATTTTCTCCCCATTCTCTGTTTATTTCTTCCATACTTTCTCATTGTCTGATATTGGGTGTGGTCCCATTTAACTAGTCAATCACATCAGTGACGGGCTGGATCCCCAGTACCAGGCCAAAAAAAGACATGAATGTTCCCCAGGTTATTAAATGAAAAGCAAGGTATAAAATAGTGTGCTTCTATTATTAAAATTAAATGATGGGGGATATTTATACATTTATTTATACATTTGTAAATGTTCAGGAATACACAGGATGGATACCCAAGCAATTATACTCATTGGTGCCACTGTGTGGGGGGAAAGGAGGATTTAGGGTTGACAGTAAAGACTTACTTTTTACTATGAAGTCATCCCTTGTTATCCATGGTGAACTGGTTTGAGGACCCCAGAGGATACTGAAATCCAAGGATGCTCATGTTATTATGTTAAATAGTTGTGACTGTATTGTTTAGGGAATAATAATAATAAAAAAAAGATCTGTTCATGTTCAGTACAAAATTTTTTTAAAAAAAATGTATTTTCAATCCATGGTTGATTGAATCCACAGATGCAGACCCATAGAAAAGCCATTTGTAGACTTTGTATTTTGATTTTTTAAAAATCAAATATAAACTTTTTTTAAATTTTAATATTTATTTTTTAGTTCTCCGCGGACACAACATCTTTGTATGTGGTGTTGACCCGGGCTGCAGGCATGCCAGGCGAGCACGCTACCACTTGAGCCACATCCCCAGCCCAAATATAAACATTTTTTTAAAATATTTTATTTTTTAGTTGCAGTAGGACACAACACCTTTATTTTATTTATTTTTATGTGGTATTGAGGATAGAACCCAGGGCCTCGCACATGCTAGGCGAGTGCTCTACCGCTGAGCACAACCCCAGCCCCAAATATATTTTTAAAAGTGCAAAATAGAAAGCTCTTTATAATGCACAGTCACCGGCTGGGATCAAGGCTCAGTGGTAGAGTGCTTGCCTCATATCTGTGAGGCACAGGGTTCGATTCTTAGCATCACGTATAAATAAATGAATAAAATAAAGGTACATCAACACTAAAAAAAAAAAAAAAAGAAAAAGAAAATGGGTGGTCACACTTAGGACCATCCATTCCTTTAGTTAATTTCAACTATGTCCTTGCTTCTGATGTGTGTAAGATATACTACTCAACTTTAAAATCTCTGGTGTTTTCTTAATTCCTTATATGAAATTCCAAGCCATAAGCCCAATGTCTCTTTTCCATTGCTTTTCCCAGATTTCCTATATCATCACGGTAGAGAAATGTTTGCAGGGGCACCCACACATCTGCTCATTCCAGTCTTTGGGATTGTATCCAAAAGTTCTCCCCCTCTTCTGTACCTCACGGTCTTAAATCATCTTCTAAAGTCTTCTTCCAAAAGTCTCAGACAATAAAATTGTCTGCACCTCTTCTAGCCCCTATCTTGGTGTGATGAGTAGGGGAACCAACTTTTGAAGCATTTGCAATCATGGGGTGAGATAGCCTGCTCCTCTAGGCTATCCTATTGGCTACAAATAGGTGAGAGGCATTTCCTTATTTTGGATGTGGTTGGACTATAATTATTTTATGTCTAAGAATACTCTGTAGTAAGAAGAGTGGCAAGACCTCCATCTGGCTCCAGGGTCTGTCCTGCACTGTGCATGCGTAACACCTACAAGTCTTAGTTTCAGGCACGATTCTGTCACTAATGGCCCATCTCTCCCAGTTGCCCAATCCAACTGCACACTCTCAAACACAAATCCCCGGAAGCCGCCTCTCCCCAGTCAGGTCGCCAGCCAAGCAAAGAGGAGGCAAACGCAGTGAGTTCAGAACGGTGGCCTTCCCCACCGGGGTCTGGGAAAGAGAGCGGGAACTTGGCATGGAGGATTCCTTAAGCTTCCTGAGAGATGGTAATGGGAGGTAAGAACTGCAGGGGGTCGGTCAACATTAAGTTTAAAGCCTGTTTTAGTGGTGTGATGCCACGCCCTATCCAGAACCACACTGGACGAGCAGACAGCCAACACTTGACTCCCGGAGCTCAGATCCCTCGCCCGTCACTCACCCCGGAGTTACACCCCACGTCGAGCCCCAGGATCGGCCTTGCCTCGGAACGCTCGGGAGGGAAGAGCCTTCGAAGTAGCTCCGGGGGCAGGAGACGAAGCCGTTGCTCTGGAGGGTGAAAGCGGGAATAATGAGGGAAATTTCCGAACGGAGCGGCCCCGGGTTCCAGAACCCGTGGCTCCTCTTCTGCCGCATTCTCCCCAATACCCTCTCCCGTCAGTTTCGCGGGCGCCGCCATTAGCCTAAGCCCCGCCTCGGATCCGGCGGAACCGGAAGTCGGTATCCTACAGCCACAGAGGACGGTAGCGGCGCTGGCGTTCGTGCGCAAAATGACGTAAAAAGACCGGAGGCAATCTTTTAGGTGGTGAAGAGGCTGAGTTTTCTTCGGGGTACACTCAGTGTGCTTGGCGATGTGCTGACTCCTGGGACTTGTATTGTTTTATTAAACCCTGGCCACAGCCCTAGGAGGGGTTTAGTAATGTCATCCACGGTTTACAGGGAGGAAACAGTGCAGAACTGTTAAGTAGTTTGCCCAAGACCAGTTTGAAATGGGCGATCTGACCAGAGCAACGTCGTTGTTAGGGTTTTGGAACTCAGTCTTGGCCTAATTCCTTTTCTTTACGAATGCATAAAGTGAGCCCCAGAGAAAAGTAATTATTTGAGTTCGGACAGTTAAACTGACACACACGGTTAGGGAAAGGATAGCTGGGAGGGCTGGGGATGTGACTGAAGTGGTAGTGCGCTCGCCTAGCATGCGTGAGGCACTGGGTTCGATTCTCAGCTCCATAAAGATATTGTGTCCACCTAAAACTAAAAAAATAAATATTTAAAAAGAGAATCTATTCTTGGAAGTGGGCTGGGGATATAGCTCAGTAGTAGAGTGCTTCTTGCCTGGCATGCAGAAGGACCTGGGTTCAATACCCATTACTAAGAAAAAAAGAAAGATTGCCACAAGGGTAGCCCGGAGCTTCAGGTTACTTGGTACCAGAAGTCTCAGATGGCTCTGCTTGCTGGGACCGACAAGTGGACAAGGCAACTGTAGACAGTGCACTCCTTTAGAGACAAGGACCATACCCCAAGATCCCGAACTTACCTTCCAAGCTCTTTACATATATTAATCTTCACAGAAACCTGGTAAGGAAAGGTCCATAATTATGATTCTTTTTTTTTTTTTTTGTAGTTGAGTTCATTGGTGCACAACGAAGTAGTGTTAGAAATACCGAAGTGCTGCAAGAAATCAAACACATGCTCATATGTGGGTCTGTTGCCGGAAGTTCTGTCCTTGTCTCCATGCCAATCTAATAATGAGGACACAGTTTTTGAGAAAAAGGAAAAAGGTCTACTGCTTTGCTAGCAAAGGAGAAATGGGGGCTGGGGCTATAGCTCAGTGGTAGAGAGCTTGCCTAGAATGTGTGAGGCCCTGGGTTGTGTTGGCATAATTACAGCCATCTTCCTTTCCCCACCCCTACTTTATGAATAAACTGTTCTTATTCTTAAGAAATAGAAGCTATCCAGAGACTTACTGGTCTGGAGACGTCCCGGTCTCTCTCTGTTCCCTCTTTAAGAGATAGGAGAACTGCCTGTCTCTGTTCCCAAGCAACAAACTTGCCTTCCACAAAATCAGGTGATGCTTGCTATGCCAGTCACCAGGACTAAACCCACCCCTATTGCGTGGCGACGAGTCTAATCTACAAAAAGAAACATTCAAGGCGGAGTTGCTGCTGCGCTGGCACACGCTTGTGCGCTCTCGCTTACTTCCTTTCTCTCTCTCTCTCTCCAGAGCAGCCTGTCAGGCTTCTGACAATAAACCTGCTTCTTATCCCAGATGTGTGAGTGATCAGCTCTACCTCACTTTTCTTTCATCTGTGCCTTAAAATAGGTTCCTCTCCTGTCTAGAGATAAGTTTGGGCTCTGCACCAGGACTCTCTGGAGATGGCATTTAGCTTGGGGCCAGTGAATCATGTGGTGATGACCCCCTTCACTGCTGTCCCCTCTCTCACTCTGGTTTAGTCTAGAGACAGGAATGCCTGACTCTAGTCACCCCAGCACTCCAACTCCTCCCAATCCAAAATCCCATCTGACTCACTTCTTGCCCATTTAGTTCCCTTCCATTTGGCTCCAGATCTAAAAGCCCATCAGCTCATTCAAATTTCCACTCAGCAATGGCCCTTCTATGACTTGGACAACGAATCCTAATGGCACCTTTGATCCCAGTATTTTAGGGATCTTTACAATTTTTGACAGCACTCATGTGAGGGCTTTCTCCTTTCTCTGCTCTAAGCCTTCCCTTTGCCCCTTTTGCTCTTCTGCCCAGCTTTTACTTGCCATTAAGGCTCTGGATTCCTTCAGAGAGCCTACTTCTAGACAAACAAGGGACCAGAACCCTTCTCCCTTCTTCTATTGGCCTGCTATATTGTAAAGCCCATCAAACAGATAATTCCATTGTTATAGCAGGCAACAACATGACAGATCAAATGGCCCAGCAGGTGGCTCTATTTTTCCTCCCCAACAAAGAATCCAACACCATTCTCCTTTCTACATTCCCAAACACTGCCCAAAACACATCTACACACCCCTGACACTACCCAAGATACCTATCACATCCTCACCTATCTACACCACTTACTTCACCCTAACCCGTCTTCTCTAAGGAACTTTTTCAAACAATCTCTAACCCTCACCCAGACCAAATCAAATCTCTCCAGGACCTCTTCTCTTCCTGCAAGAGATATATATATTCCTTTCTCTAACATTCACCCTCCCTCCTTTCCAACTTACCAGGCAAGAGGACATTTACCAGCCAGTAATTGGCAAATTGACTTCACATCCCCACTGTAAAAGATTTCAAGTATCTCCTAGTCCTGGTTGACATATTCTCTAGAGTGGTTGAGGCCTTTCCCACCACTCACAAAAAAGAGCACAAACCATTTGTAATGTTCTCCTTAAAGATCTCATTCCTCCCTTTAGCCTCCCTCCTTCCATCTGATAAAGGGCTCCACCCAGCAACTTCAGCAGCTTCCCTCACTCTCCTAATGGTACCACTCTTCCTCATCTCTACTAATAATGTTTCATAATTTTATACATTCAAACCTGGCCTAATTACCAATTGGAAAAATAGGGTTAAAAAGCCCTAGGCAGGGGCTAGGGTTGTGGCTCAGTGGTAGAGCACTTGCCTAGGATGTGTGGGGCCCTGGGTTCAATCCTCAGCACCACATAAAAATAAATAAATAAAATAAAGGCATTATGTCCAACTACCACTAAAAAATAAAATATTAAAAAAAATTCCCTAGGCAGCGATCTCCCTAGCCAAGGCCACACTGAAGCTAACATTGAAATACAAACGGCATACTTACCAGATTTGATAAGAGGCCTAAGTCTAAAGGAGAAAAAAGTGTCAATTTAACTTTTACCTTGGCTGCAACACAGAAAAATGACTTCAAAACACTCTCTCTCTCTCTCTCTCTCTCTCTCTCTCTCTCTCTCTTCTTGTCACATTCTCTAATATCACCTTAATGAAATAATTAATAATATTTTTCCTAGGACTCTTATTTTTTATATTTTTAAAAATATTTTATTTACATTTTAGTTTTCGGCAGACACAACATCTTTGTTTGTATGTGGTGCTGAGGATCGAACCCAGGCCGCACCCATGCCAGGGGAGCACGCTACTGCTTGAGCCACATCCCCAGCCCCATAGGACTCTTATTTTTAAAATTCTGCATTTTTGAGCTCATACTTTTGTTCCTGTGCACCAAAATTATAATTTCTGACATTCTGCTTTGCTCAGAGACTAATTTACAAAAGTTGGCTCTTAATAAGTTTTGTTTTTTTTTTTTTTTGTGGTGCTGGGGATAGAACCCAGAGCCTTGTGCATGCAAGCCAAGCACTCTACCAATTGAGCTGCATCCCAGCTCAATAAGTTTTAAAAGTTATAAGACCTTTACTCATTTGTTCTGTGTACTGTCTTGTCTACATGTGTGTGTGTGTGTATCAAAACCAACATATAGAGTGCTCATAAACTAAAATTCAAGAATAGATCCAAATACCTTTGATTCACATGATTTAAAGTTCAATTTAAATTGGATAAAACAAGGTAATGATATCTTCAAAATCAGTAACACTTTTTTCCAGATGATCAACATTAGAAAATCTCATTTTCGGGTCTGGGGATGTGGCTCAAGCGGTAGTGTGCTTGCCTGGCATGCGTGCGGCCTGGGTTCGATCCTCAGCACCACATACCAACAAAGATGTTGTGTCCGCCGAGAACTAAAAAAAATAAGTAAATATTAAAAATTCTCTCTCTCCTCTCTCACTCTCTCTTAAAAAAATTAAAATTAAAAAAAGAGAAAATCTCATTTTCTATTAAATATTTTAATATAATGTCCATTACTTCTTCTAGGATTATCCTTCAACAGAAAAGGATGACTTAAAATATTAACTAAATTTGCTTTTCATGGGTAACCTAAATTAAAAATAGGTGAATCAGATTTAACGTAAATGTGATAAACATTATAAATGTGGTTTTCAAAATTTGCTACTCAATGGAAAGTTTAAGATTGCTTTATTTCTGATCTCTGCTAAAAGCAAGATAATTAAAGGTTCTAACCCAGGTTTTAGGCCCCTCAAAGTCAACAATCTTGCACTCCTGATTCTGGGAATCATACCAGCAATGAGGGAGAAGAAGCCTCTGAGCTAGCTGCAGTGGCTTCCACTCCTCCACCTGCCCTACATCCTTCACTATCCAAGCTAAGAAAAAAATTTGTATGTACAATTTTTTCTATTCTAAATGTTCTCGCTCTGTCAGCCCTCTCATCACCCAATCTCACACAGCCATTTGAGAGCTCACTCCTTTACTCCCTGTCTGTGAAGTCACTGGGTCTGAGGGGGTAGTCAGAGTCCCTGGTCCATTCTCTTTTGGTGATCTCTTCCAAATCGATAGATGCCTAGGGTCCTTTACCTCCAAACCTGCCACATACACCAAGGAGTTCCAATACATAACACAGGCCTACAACCTCACCTTTCATGAAATACACATGAGACTATCTAACACCCTCCTCCCAGAGAAGCACGGATGAGTCTGGGAACAAGCTCAAAATTGTACCAATAAAGTCCACCAGTTGGGACTATAATTCCTCTGGAGGCCAAACAAGAAGGGATCAATTCATCACCTGTTTACTGACAGGTTTAAAAAGGGCAGCTCATAATGTCATCAATTATGAGGTCAGTCAGGATAAAAATGAAAACCCCTTTTCCTTTTTAAACCGCCTGACTCAGGCCCTACTTCAATACACCAATTTAGATCCTGAGTCACCT